ACAGACAGACAGACAGACAGACAGACAGACAGACAGACAGACAGACAGACAGACACAGAAGAGAGACGCGTGGCATGTGATATCAGCATCAGCAGTTTAAGAGAGAATTGTTCAAAGAACTTTAGGAACCCTTTAACAATTATTGATTATAGAGTCGAACTCGAACACAGGTCTACTGCACTGAAGCCCTGAGTCTTAAAAATGAAAGTTTAAATTTGACTTTGAAAGCAAAGTTTCAAAAATGGCAGCTTTTTTTTTGGGGGGGGGGTGTTGCTGGTTTTGTTGGGGGGGTTTTGTTGTTGTTGTGGGGTCAATTCTCTTGTCAGTAAGAGTTTTACTGCACTTGCAACACAAATTGGTCATTTAAATGCTGACGATTAGAAGTATTACTAGAGAATAACTTACAGGTAAAAGAAGAAGGCGAAGTAAGGATGATAGGAAAGAAAGAGCGCCTGTCGCTAACCTAGATAGATAGGTGATAGATAGATAGATAGATAGATAGATAGATAGATAGATAGATAGATAGATAGATACTCTACCCAGTAAACTGTCAGTTGCCTCGAGATCCACCGCATCGAGTCCTTTCTTGTCGTAGACGAAACTGTGGGACAAGCCAGCCTGCGCCTGTTTATCCTTCCACATCTAGAGGGGAAACAGAATAGCAGGAAGACATGGAATGACTTTATTCTTAAGAGGCTATCCCAGGGTAAGGAAAATGGATCGTGTTTGTTCGTGGCCTATATCCCCTCCCCTCTCTCTTTCTCTCTTTCTCTCTCTCTCTCTTTCTCTCTCCCTCTCTTTCTCTCTCTCTCTTTCTCTCTCTCTCTCTCTCTCTCTTTCTCTCTCTCTCTTTCTCTCTCTCTCTCTCTCTCTCTCTCTCTCTCTCTCTTTCTCTCTCTCTTTCTGTCTCTCACTCCTCCCTCTCTCCAGGGTGAGAAATGCAGTCTCTTTCTCTCTCCTCTCTCTCTCTCTCTCTCTCTCTCTCTCTCTCTCTCTCTCTCTCTCTCTCTCTCTCTCTCCTTCTCTCTCCCTCCTTCCCTCTCCCTCTCCCTCTCTCCAGGGTGAAAAACGAAGTGATGATGATGATCTAGAGAGTTCGACCCATGACAGGAGAGATCAAAGGGAAAAAGGCAGGGGAAATTATGGCTATCCTCAAAGAAATTATGGATCACGTTACTGTTGGAAACCACAATTCTTTTTCCACGGTTCCACGGCTGAAGCTTAGCAGTTTTGGTTGCTCAATTCAAAGTGCAACTGATGATTACTGATGACTGCATTTGTTTCCCTAAAATATCCTTAACTTTTCAGGCACCGTGATTGTTTTCTCTGGCGCTCTTTATTAGCCAGAGTGGTTAGGGTTTCTTTTTTGTGGTTTTTATTTGGAGGAAATAATAGCTATGCTTTCTTTTTTTTTGGGGGGGGGGGTAATTTTTTTAGAAACTCCCACCCGAGATTAAAAATGCAGCTGGTTATTGTGTGAGGTTTACGCCCGTTTTCACACTTTAATGTCATAATAATATTAGAGGCAGGGTATCGGATTTTAAAGTCCATCTACGACAAAATCGAGCCATGCAGGTGGAGAGCCAGATTCCCCCTCAACACGTTCAAGAACTCCCCACTGGGTATTCGAACCAGAACCATCTGCACCATAGCCCAGCATGATACCAACTGAGTAAACGGCATGCCTGACTGTGGTATCTTAAGAAAATGTTGTTCTATTTCTTTTTACCAGAGCGATACGCAATAGTGTTCCATATCATTATACTGCACTTTACTTCAAACTGTGATTTAACGATTTAATTGATTGTAAATGTTTTCCACCCTCACTTTTTACATCCACCGTACCAGCCCTCTCACCACAACCCTATCCCCACCCCATTAATAATCCGTCTCCCTACACCCCCCCCCCCCCCCACACACACACAAACCCCACCCCACCCTTAACGAAACAAGTTCTATCAAGGAGGCTGGTTCACCCCTTGGTGTTAAGGCCGATCCCAACCCAAAAAAAAAAACGTTTCTTATCAAACAGAAAGAGATTCTCGAAAAAACCCCGGAAACCAAACCTTGTATTTTGCCGGCCGCCGCATTAAGCACAACTAATACCCCACAGAGCCCAGGATGGCATGAAAAAGACCTGTAGATAAACGGAAGGGGCTGCGTCGGGGAAAAATGAG